AGGAACGAAGCTTGAGGTTATTGACATTTATTAGAATACCGGTAGGGCTATGTCGAGCACGCGTGAGCATTGACATTGCTATTGATATCAGTGACAACCATTAGCAGAAAGTGATAACCGGTGATTGATGGAAGAGAGCATGAGCACGAGCCGAAACCCACAATAATTTATATTGACTAGCAGCTGACGTTCGTATGGCACCTGACTCTTATCACGCTTAACTTGAAGCTGCTTTGTGCTTCCAGACAGTCTAAGTGTCACGAAGTTTCTTGCTACATCTCTTGATATGTCATCCGATGCTTGATATAGTCCATTTTGATCGGAATACAAACATAGCATGCCAACTGCATGTGGTGGGTAGAGTGGCGGGTGCGTCGGCAGCCATCTATGACGGGCAGGAGGTGCGATGGCGGGCAGCTTTGGAATTGTCACAAAGCAAACACGTGACCAAAAACAATTAAAACTCAGCTCGGGTCAGCCCAGCTCAGCCGCGACCCCCAGACTTTGCCGAACGCCCCAGACCTCTGGCCCCAGACTCCGCCCCGGACTTTGGCCCCAGACTGGCCGGGTCTCTGACATTCATGCATTTTGGTGGTGGTGGTGGGCGTGGCAAATTTTGGATTACGTTTTTTGGTTCGCTGGGCCTGTAGCAGTTGGGTATAAGCAGCCACTCATTCGCCACGGTGTTGATAACGTTGTTGAATTCTCTGCCAGGTTGCGATTGGATCCGTACATGTGCCTTGCTGCACGTGTTTATCCTTACAGCCGAAACGTTCTTGCTCACAGTGTGGCAGTATCTATCCGTGCCACTGTGGTTGGCTGATCCTCGGACACCCCAAGTTTTTTTTTCTGTAATGCGCTATCGATGAGTTTTGAAAAGAGTCAACCTTTTGGAAGGAGTCTCAACTGTTATTCTAGCAGTATACAGTGACAGTGAGTGTTTTGCTTGCATACCGCAGCGGCATCCCAGTGCTCCTTCAAGGTGTAACTGATACTGCCAACACTTTCAGGTTTGTGCATCTTTGTGGCAGGAACGGTATCTGCCTTTGAATTCTCAATTCCGGGCTTTAGTTGATGTGGTTTAGCTAAAGCTGTATCAGCCCAGGGAACTTATGCATTTTTCGGATATCAAACAGTTGCCCTATCTGTCGTCTGCGTTCCGTCCGCATGTCGTCGATAGCTCTGAATTTTCCTACTCGTCGCCATAAGTCCGCTCTGTTTTTCGAAACCAAGCTAGGTTGGCTCATAATGATGTGGGCTGTGGCTGCGCCACGATAAAGATATGGTTAGCTGTCCCATTCTATCCGTATCATCGGTAAGCTTACCGTGCACGTCGCAATCACATGACTGGGGAACACTGCGACACCATGTAGGTGCAACGAACTGGCCTTCTCGTACACGTATCTAGGGAGACGTGACTCGTAATCCAAATTATCAGCCTGGAACGCGTATACACATTCATGACTGTGAGTATGTTTTTGCAGGTGTACACAAAGATCTCCTCTTCTAAAACGTCTGGTTTCCAGACACAGTGAACTGCACCATATACCCGAGTGCCATGGCGTCATATCCGATCCATTGACCTAGCATGTGTTAGTTAAAATCGACACTCATAGCCAGTGCACAAGAGTGAGCTAACTGTGACACATGAATGCTACCGATACTTCGCCTGATGGCAGTCGCGAAGATCCGACACCGGTTTCCGCACGTCGTGTGTCCGCTCATGATGTTTCTCCGGAGCTATCACTTTATCCCCAACTGTGCAAGTCGAGTAATGCGTAATGGGGTATGACAGTACCCGTCTCTTCCTGTCCGTGGGGTTGGTGTAGGGAACCTTACTTAAACAGGTTAAATGCGCTTTCAATGAGGTCTATCCTAACCCCTCCAATCGATCATGCTACAGCTCCCTGGCCTGCGCATTCCTGATAACACGTCGCGGACCCTTGATGTTGTGGCTTGTTTTGGAGTAGTAATAGGAACAATTGCTTGGGTGTACCTTCGTAAATCAGATAGCCGCCTTCCTCTCCCACCTTCTCCTCCAACTTGGAGACTTCAGGGACACTTCCTGCCCCCTCGCGAGTGAAGTTTTATATCCACAACCTCATCTTTATGATCTAATTGTATCACATTTCTGATCAGCCCATTTCTCACTGTGGCGCGGTGGATTGACGAGTATGGCCCTCTGATTACTATCCGCTTAGGAATGCAGAACACGGTGATTATTGGCCGCTACAAAGTTAGTCCCTTTATGATAAGTTAGGATCTCCAGACTCAACACTCCGTGACAGGCCGCAGTGGATATAATGGAGAAGCAGGGTAGAACGCTAGCTGATCGACCTCGCTTCGTTGCTGCCGGAGAAATTCTTTCACGCGGACTGAGCCTCGGTTTCTGCCGTGCTGGGGACAGGCTCCGTCGGCTGCGTAGGTTCGTTGTCGCGGTACTGTGAAGGCTAAAACAGCTCTCATCTTACTTCTCGATGCGATGTAGAGTACTCCATACGCATCTCCAGCCCAAATCAGCTGAGACGTATCAACCTCTGCAGATGTCGCAAGCGAGAAGCCTAATCCTCAACATTCTTGACGATCCAAGCAACTTTCAGAACCATGCGACCACGTAAGCGGTTTCCTACCTGTGGCGCCGGGGTCTCGTAGTATGTGACTTACGGGCTCTTGGAAGTTATGCCGCAGGGACGATCCTGAAAGTTGCATATGGGAAGACCTCGCCGACATCGGCAACTGACCCCGAAGTTAGGGAGGCTCGCTACATCATGTCCCGCTTTCGTGCAGCCCTACGTCCTGGTGCTTACTGGGTAGACTCGATACCTTGGCTCAAATACCTTCCTTGGTATGCGCTAGAATTAAGAGACGACTATAAGAGGGCCACGCGACTCTACGCAGACCAGCTGAATCGTGTAAAACTGCACATGGTAGGCATTGCCTTGCCTATCTTCACGTGATGTCTGAGTTGTACCACAGCAGAGGAATGAGGATATTGGTCCTTCGTTTTCAAAATACCTTTTAGAAAATGGGCATCTCTACGACTTGACAGAGATGGAGATGATGTATCTGTCTGGCTCCTTTTTTGGAGCTGGAACCGAAACAGTAAGGCGTCTTTCTGTTTTTTTTTATGATTGTATACACTGAGGTGGGGTGACAGACTGCCATAGCGATATGCACGGTGCTAATGGCAGCCGCACGTTTCCCTGAAGAGCAAGCTAAAGTGCAGACCGAGCTTGATGCAGTCATCGGAAGGGAGCGAGGTAGCTTGATTGTGCACTGTAGTTCTGTCAAATCATTCATTTTTCGCCAAAGCACCGACCTTCGCCGATAAATCATCCCTTCCCCGTCTGGAGGCCTTCATTTCCGAGGCTTTGAGATGGAGACCGTTGGCTCCTTTTGGTGAGTTTCTGAATGGTCGGTCCTGTGCTGACGTTCACAGTCCATCCCACAGGATTCCCTCACCGAACTACTGAAGACGTCATCTGGGCAAGTGTTTTTGAACGATTTGTCGTCAGAGGATAATCTTACATCCGTCGGCAGGAGAACTATTGCATTCCCGCTGGAACTACGGTAATCGGCAACCACTGGTAAGTCTATGTCCTTCAATGTATCACATATCGAATTGTCACCGCCTCAGGGCCATCTCTCGAGATCCAGAAGTCTATCCCGAGCCTGATGCGTTCAAGCCCCAGCGCTGGATTGACGATCAAGGTCGCTTGAGAGACGATCTCACATTCTTTGTATATGGGTTTGGTCGGCGGTGAGCACTGTCTTGTGGGATTCACTTTCTTTGATCGTCCTTCCTTCCAGGGCATGCCCAGGTCAACACGTTGCGACCAGGTCACGATTCTCTCTACCCACATAATTTCTTGAATCTCATATGAAATGTTACAGATCGGTGTTCATCAATTCGCTTCTTATTCTTTGGGCCTTTCAGCTCAGTCTGGATCCTACGAAGCCACAGGATGACATGGGGTTCTCGAACGCGTTTATGCCAAATGTCCCATGCGCTATTGAATTTCAGGCGAGGGTCCCGGAAGTGGAGCTTAGGCGTATGATGCAGAATTATCCTGAGGCTGGATGAGAAGCCTTGACGTCTGGGTAGGATTTTAATTTATTGTTAGCATTCAACGTTCAACTTCGACACCATACTTAGATTTCTTTTTTCGTATCGGACTCTATACGTACGGCTTATAGTGTATTTATCTTCGTCTATTTGTACCTCAGCGTCTTCATCCGCAACACTGAGGTATGTTTGATGTTTCCTGCACACCGTTCTCGTCTCACCTTATTTCGTCATTAGATCTTGTTTCTAGGTACTTGCAATGTTAGCGTCTTCATCCGCAACGCTGAGATCTTGTTTCTAGTTTCGCTGTTAACATTTATTAGAAAGAGGCTATAGAAACAGTCTTAGCGTCTGGAGAAGAGTTGCTGAGGTATGAGCAGACACGAGAGCATCTCAAAACCAACCGTACAGTGCCAAAAAGTACACCCCGAAGTGCGGCGGCACGAACAGTAACTAACAGTCAGATTTTGAATTATTGTGTCAGCGATGTTGTGATAGTGCACGTACAGCCTTACTTTGCTCCATGCATATACGACAATATCATTCTTTGTTCGTTCGGCGACCTCTAAGTCATGATTTGAGGGTGAATGCACTGGTGTGGAGTGTAGAAAGTACGCTCAGCGTTGGTGAACAACTATATTGACATGCTCAATGTACCTGTAGAAAGTACGCTAAGGTTATATAACACCCTCTATTCTAAAGCTGAAAAGTAAAAAAGTCATGCAGGATAATAACGCAGAAGGAGAACAACGTACCTCTATCGGATAAATGACATGGTTAGATCGCTTCTTGGTCAGCCTATAGAGGCCCGTCAGGACCACCAGAGTGAAGGCGCGTGTGATAAGGACCCCCGAAGCGTTTGTCTGGAGAGTTAGGCGTGCTAGGGCCGTTGGAGTCAAGCACCGTGTGCCTGTTTGGCAACTCGGGTTTGCTAGGGCCGTTGGAGTCAAGCACCGTGCGCCTGTTTGGCAACTCAGGTTTGCTAGGGCCGTTGGAGTCCAGCACCGTGTGCTTGTTTAGCAACTCCGGTTCAGTGCTAGGACCGTTGGAGTCAAGCTCTCTGCGCTTGTCAGGCCCGTCAGGAGAACTGGGAGACCTGAGAGAGCTGGAAGACCTGAGAGAGTCGGGAGAGCTGATAGAGCTTAGGTGGCACGGCGCATCAGGCCTATGAGTTGCTCCCGACCATCGTGGGCTGCAAAGTGCGCACTGAGTTGCTCAGCATTTGCACTCACGAAGAAGCTGAATTGCATGAGGATCGTGGTCCAGACATCGTCCGGGCGGTGGATGAGCGCACGATGGTTATTGTATGCCTCAAGCACCGCATGCACAAATCCGTTGGGCTTTGGCATGATGTCATGCACCGCATGGAGAAGGTGAAGACAACGCATGAATTGTTCAGGAGATATCTTTTCGAGGACGGTGAGGTAGGGGTTTTGATGGAGTGGGATCTGGGGACGTTAGTCTGCTGTGAAGAGACTCAGCAGGATGCGCGGCTGGGCAGAACGAAGTCACGCTAGAAGGAATGTATTGTTAATTCTAAGAATAAGGCTGGCGCTTGGCATAATTTAGCATTAGGAATGACATGAACATACCGTGGAGAGCGGGGACAGAAACTCAAATGAAGCCGTTGAACTAGCCATGGAAGATATCGGGGAGAATTTATGTGGAAACATGTGGTGTGTAGGGGATGCAGCCGTGATGACCCTGTGAGGTCGTTTCTGAAGCTTCGGAGTGGGATACGGTCTGACTGAGCCTGTAATACTCTCTGTAGGGGCAGTAGCCGTGAAAATGGCAGAAACAGCTTCCTCCTTGAACTTGCTGCCTTTGGAGAGAGGTAAAGCGATGCTGATCGGAGAAAGTAGTGGTGAATTATGAGGTGCTGAGGTCGGTGTTCCTCGATCTCGAGAAGACACGCCCAGATGACAGTTTTCGAACCATAAGGAGAACCATCGTAATGGGGCTTCAAATTAATGAGCGTGTATGACCTGTTGGTAGATGTTGGCAAGTATCAGATCCAGCTTGTTCCGCTATACATAGATTGAAGAGATTTGCCAGCGATTGCTATCGCAGAGGGTTGACAGGACTGGCTCGCGTGAGTTGATCATCCAACTCAATTGAAGACTCGGGTGACTTGCGCGAAAATTTTATGACAAATCAAAAGGGCTCCATGGAAAAGACTCAGCTCCATCCTGGTACCGTACCAATCAGCAAAACTACCGCTTCTAGCATTTCCCGCCGCATGAATCCTCAAATGTTCGTGCATGTCGCGTATAAACGACAGTTTTAATGTCGCGGACAGTATTATGGGAACTCCAGCCTTAGGTCTGTATGCTTGCACCTTTCCTTCCTTCCTTGCTCGAGTGTCACGACCCTCAGCTGGCTTAATAGCACGCACACTGTGGTAGCATTGAGCAAACATGGTTACGATGCCAAAGTGTAGCGCGAGTCTCCAATCACATCATGATAGAGTTCCACTTTCAATTGGCCGCGATCTGTTTCACTGCGTCAGTTACCTCTTCCCAACCACCGCAGCTATATCTCCCCTAGCGTCACCCATCATTCCTGCCCGATGCACGACCATGAGCGTCTTGGTTTTACCCCGGAGGCACGCTAGTTGATGATGTAAGTGCCTGTGGTGTAGGATGTTGATACGCTGGGTGAGGGTGATACTGACAGGTCTTTATGAAAACATGAGGATTTTGAATAGATGCGGGTCGCTGAACGGTGTCATACTGTCATCCTTCCCCTTGATGCAGTGTTCACTCGACTGCTAAGCAGGGAAAAGCAGGACAGGACATGTGCAGCACATTCTATCGTTTGTCTTCCCGATCACAGGAAGAGTCAGAGAGACAGGATGTGATCTCTGATACATGTGGCAGCTCGTGGCGATAGCGGAGACAGCATAATGTACAGCTGTGTTTTAGTACAAATCGTAGTTTTACGGAAAACATTGTGTATTAGCGAAATTCGACTGGTACGTGACGAAGTGAATTGAAAGCCCTGCCCAAGACAAACATGTATGGTACGAATCATGTGTAGTGCGTAGCGCGATATACAAGGGTATCATAACGAAGATAAAGTAGCCTCCTGTTACCTGTACGTGTGCCAAGACGTGCCATGCGCAAGACGACTCAAATCGAACTGCGAGGCACGATCGTGTATCACCAGCATGTTGCCTGGGACATGCATCACCGGGTGGAAATTGCGTGGGATCCAGAGAAGAAGCCGTCCGCCAGGACCTACAACCCATCCATCCTTATTCGCAACAACAGAAACTGGGGCTGAGGAATCCTGGAGAAAGGAGGCGGAATGAAGAGCGTAGGATGGGTTGGGTGAAAAGCATATCGCAGGCGCTTCGGAAAGGTGGGGCTGGTTAAGGAATTCTATATCCCACACATGGATGGCCTTGTCTTCTGAACCAGATACAATGAGCTTGCCGTTGGGTGAGATTGCGACAGACAGAACGCTTCCGGTGTGCCCTTGGAAAGGGGCACCCACCAGTCTTCATATCCCACACCCGGATCGTCTTGTCATTTGAACCGGACACAATGTGGTGCCCATTTCATGAGATCGCAACAGAGTAAATAGAGCCGGTGTGCCCTTGGAGAAGGGCACCTAATGCCTTGCCAGTCTTTATATCCCACACTCAAACTGTCTTGTCCTCTGAACCGGACATGATGCGATGTCCATCTGGCGAGATTGCAACGGAGTTAATGGAGCCAGTGTGGCTTTGAAAGGTAGCGACTGATTCTTTGCCCATAAGAGTGTTGGCATCCCACACCCGGATCGTCCCGTCGTCTGAACCAGAGACTATGCGACTTCCATCCGACGAGACTGTGACAGATTGAATGAAGGGGACGTATGGGAGTATGGGAATCCGAAGTGACGGTTAAAAGGGATCCCAATGGCCCAAGGACCGGTCCATTTCATAATCGCAAGTCCCTTCGAAAAATGCAGTCGCATAGCCGTCAATGCAGTTATGGGAACATTGAGAAGTGGCTCCAACGAGGCAAGGACTTGCCCCATCACTAAGCAAGACACCGGGATAGCTCGTCCTCCGGCACGATTTCCCCCAAGATGCGTGCATACATAATATCCAACAGACGCGTTCCTCTTTCGGATGTTTCAGCAATTACAGCTTTGTAACGGTCCACCGGACGCACGCCCACTTTGTTCGTACCCTTGATGTACTCACAGGCGAGACGAGCCCATTCAAACAGACCATCAGATTTCAGAGCGAGCGCCTTGGAGTGGGCATCGTTGAAAATGTGACGCAGATCTTTTAGCCTGTGGGAGATATAAAGTTCGATGTCGAGTTCTGTGGACGCAGACGAGATGTCATCCAGGGAAATATGGCGAACATGTGGCGCAGCGTACAGAGTCAGAGTGTTGTGAATGTCTTCGAGTGGACGGGAAGTAAGGAGAATACGGAAGTTGGCTGGGAGTTCGGATAGTTGTGAAGTGGAAGTGCTTGATTTGCCAGCGAGTAGACGAAGAATCTGTTCGCTTCACCGCTCTCGTCCAACGCATCAATGACTATCAGCACGGGTGCAGAGATGGCGTTTGACGCTATGTTTATCGGTCCGAAAATGAGTTCCTGCCACTGCTTTATGATATCCGGAGTGCGCTTGAGTCCGTCGTGATCACGAACTGCCTGCACCAAGGCTCGCCACACGATAGGGTTGCAGTTGAGTATTTGGAAAACAACATTTAGACGTATTCAATCCAGCGCCCGTTGCGTACTCCATGCCTACGAGGTCCAAACTCTCGGCTATGCCAGGGATCGTAGAATGTCAGATGAGGCTTAAAGAGACTTGAAAACTGACTCATATCCATATGGTGGACGATCACAACGGTATCACGAGCTGTCCGGTCTCGGAATTGCTGCATGAGATTGTCCAGGACATTATTGTAGTTCTGGATAGTGGTGTCCGTTTCATCGAAAACGTGCTTGCCAAGTCTGATCCCTATATGAACAGGTAACATTGAGTTTGGTGGATGAAGCAGTGGGATCCACTCACAGGCACTCTTCGTCTCAGAGTAATGGCTGATAAAATCAGCACACTCCAGTATCTGCTGTGCTATCTCCACATATGGCGCTAGCATATATTGAATCCTAGAGGTGGATGTGCGTGTTTTGGTGCAATGGAAGTTGGAGGTGTGGTGGTGGTGGTGGTGGTGGTGGTGGTGGTGAATAGGATCGACTGGCGTCTACATGTTTGCGATGAGGATTATTATCAATTATGAACGTATGGCTTGGAAGCACCCATTATCGATTGGCATCTCGAATGGTGAAGCAGGTTAATCGGGCAGAAGGCCGCATCAGGGAACCTCACTGATGGGCTTAGGTGTTAATACCGGGGCAACGTCGGTGTCCAACAAGTGACAATTTTTGTGAAAGGAGCGAGCGAATCGAGTGATGCTAACGCATCGTGATGAAGAGAGGAAGCTGGATGTGTGGTGCCGGTTCCTTCCGAGCGTTCACGAACCGGCACCTCGGAAATTTAGACTGGGATTTGTCCGTGTTGCGGGCCCGTAGCGCTAGCAGTTGGGTATAAGCAGGCAGTGACTCATGTATCGCCACGGTGAGCAGTGATCATGATCTCTGCCAGGTTGCAATTGGATCCGTACATGTGCCTTGCTGTACGTGTTTATCTCGAAAAGTTCTTGCTCACAGCGTGGCAGTATCTGTCCGTGCCCCCGTGGTTGGCTAATCCTCGGACACCCCAAGTTTTTTTTCTGTAATGCGCTATGAATGATTCACGAGTTTCGAAAACAGTCAACCTTTTGGAAGGAGTCAACTGTCATTCTAACAGAATATGACAGTGGGTGTTTTGCTCGCATCCCAACGCTCCTTATATAACTGATGCTGCCAATACTCTCAGGTTTGTATCGATCCTTTCAGGTCTCGCCCGGGGTGCCATCTTTGTGGCAGGAACGGTATCTGCCTTCCCAATTCCTGATTTCAGTTAATGCGGTTTAGCCATATCTGTATCGGCCCGGGGAACGTCTCTGCACCTTCCCATTATCAAAGAGTTACCGACGTACCGTATCTGTCGGCTGAGTTCCGTTCGCATCGTTTTGTCGATAGGACTGGATTTCCCTACTCTTCGCCATAAGTTCGCCCTGTTTTTCGAAAAAAAAAAAAAAGCTAGGTTGGCTCATAATGATGTGGGCTGCGGCTACGATAAAGATATGGTCAACTATATCATTGGTTGAAAGCCTCTTTCCCCGGCTCGGACTCTGTACGTCACAACTTGTCACATGACCCAGAAACACCGCTAGGCAGGTGCAACGAACCGGCCTAGAATCTTGCGCACGTTATACCATCTTATTTAGGGAGACAACTCGTAATCCATATGATTAGCCTGGAACGTGCATACACATTCATGACTGTGAGTGTTTTTGCAGGTGTACACAAAGATCTCCGCTTTTAAAACGTCTGGTTTCCAGGCTCAGCGAACTGCACTATACCTGAGTGCCTAGTAACTTACGCCACCGCACATCATCGTCGGCATCATACGACTCAGCCCGTGTAAAAGTCGACACTCATAGCCAGTACACAAAGCCATGAAGGAGTTAAGCCAATTGTGATTCATGATTGCTACCGATGCTTCGCCTGACGGCAGTCGCGCAAGATCTTGTCCGGTTTCCGCACATCGTGTGTTCGCTTATGCTATTTTTCCAGAGCCATCGTTTTATCCCAAACTGTGCAAGTGGAGTAATGCGTAATAGAATATGACAGACCCGTCTCTTCCTGTCCGTAGAGTTGGTGCAGGGTACCTTATTTAAACAACTTAAATGCGTTTTCGATTAGGTCCATCCTGATTCCTAACTCCTCCAATCAACCATGCTACAACTCCCTGACCTGCGCATTTCTGATAACACGTCGCTCACCCTTGATGTTGCGGCTTGTGTTGGAGTAATAGGAACGATTGCTTGGGTTTACCTTCGCAAGTCAGATAGCCGCCTTCCTCTCCCACCTTCTCCTCCAACTTGGAGACTTCGGGGACACTTCCTGCCCCCTCGCGAGTGAAGTTTCATATCTGCGACCTCATCTATAGGATCTAATTGTGTCACAATTTCTGATCAGGCCATTTCTTGCTGTGGCGCAGTGGATTGACGAGTATGGCCCTCTGATTACTATCCGCTCAGGAATGCAGAACATGGTGATTATCGGCCGCTACAAAGTTAGTCCCTTTATGATAAGTTGGTATCTTCAAGCTCAACACTCCCTGACAGGCCGCAATGGATATAATGGAGAAGCAGGGTAGAACGCTAGCTGATCGACCTCGCCTCGTTGCTGCTGGAGAAATTCTTTCACGCGGACTGAGCCTCGGTTTCTGCCATGCTGGGGATAGGCTCCGTCGGCTGCGTAGGTTCGTCGTCGCGATACTGTAAAGGCTCAAACAGCTCTCATGTTACGTCTCGATGCGATTCAGAGCACTCCATACGCATCTCCAGCCCAAATCAGCCGATGCGTATCAACCTCTGCAGATGTCGCAAGCGAGAACTCTAATCCTTAACATTATTGACGATCCCAGCAACTTTCAGAACCATGCGATAAGGTAAGCGATTTCCTACCTGGGTCTCGTAGCATGTGACTTACGGGCTCTTGGAAGTTGTGCCGCATCGACGATCCTGAAAGTTGCATATGGGAAGACCTCGCCGACATCGGCAACTGACCACGAGGTTAGGGAGGCTCGCCACATCATGTTTCGATTTCGTACAGTCCTGCGCCCCGGTGCTTACTGGGTAGACTCGATACCGTGGCTCAAATACCTTCCTTGGTATGCACTAGATTTAAAAGACGACTATAAGAGGACCACCCGACTCTACACAGACCAGCTGAATCGTGTAAAACTGCAAATGGTGGGCATTGTCTTGCCTATCTTTACGTGATGTCTGAGTTGTTCCACAGCAGAGAAATGAGGATATTGGCCCTTCGTTTTCAAAATACATTCTAGAAAATGGACATCTCTACGACTTGACAGAGATGGAGATCGCGTATCTTTCTGGCTCCTTTTTTGGAGCTGGAACCGAAACAGTAAGGCGTTTTTCTGTTTGTTGCGATTGTATACACTAAGGTGTGGTGACAGACTGCTACAGCGATATGCACGGTGCTAATGGCAGCTGCACATTTCCCTGAAGAGCAAGCTAAAGTGCAGGCAGAGCTTGATGCAGTCATCGGAAGGGAGCGAGGTAGCTTGATTGTGCACTGTAGTTCTATCCAATCATTCATTTTTTTGCCAAAGCACCGACCTTCGCCGATAGACCATCCCTTCCCCGTCTGGAGGCCTTCATCTCTGAGGCATTGAGATGGAGACCGTTGGCTCCTTTTGGTGAGTTTCTGAATGGTCGGTCATGTGCTGACGCTCACACAGTCCATCCCACAGGATTTCCTCACCGAACTACTGAAGACGTCATTTGGGCAAGTGTTTTTGAACGATTCGTCGTGAGGATAATCTTACATCTGTCATCTGTCTGCAGGAAAACTATTGCATTCCCGCTGGAACTACGGTAATCGGCAACCACTGGTAAGTCTATGTCCTTCAATGTATCGTCAAATTGTCACCGCCTCAGGGCCATCTCTCGAGATCCAGAAGTCTATCCCGAGCCTGAAGCGTTCAAGCCCCAGCGCTGGATTGACGATCAAGGTCGCTTGAGAGACGATCTCGCATTCTTTGTATATGGGTTTGGTCGGCGGTAAGCACTGTCTTGTGGGATACACTTTTTTTGATTGTTCTTTCTTCCAGTGTATGCCCGGGTCAACACGTTGCGAACAGGTCACAATTCTTTCCACCCACATAATTTGCTGCATCTCATCTGAAGTGTTACAGATCGGTGTTCATCAATTCGCTTCTTGTTCTTTGGGCTTTCCAGCTCAATCTGGATCCTACGAAGCCCCAGGATGACATGGGGTTCGCGAGAACGTTTATGCCAGACGTCCCATGCGCTATTGAATTTCAGGCGAGGGTTCCAGAAGTGGAGCTTAGGTGTATGATGCAGAACTATCCTGGGGCTGGGTGAGAAGCCTTGACGTCTGGGTTGGATTGCTACTATCGGGCCGGGGACAAATCATTATATCGTTATCACAATTTCAATTTGGCTCCAAGTTTGACTCTTGTAACATTTACGCCAATTCATTTATCAACGTCCGGCTCACTTTGAGTTCTCGGTAGTCCTTCAAGGTCCCGGCCCAGATATAGTTTCGCGGATCTATGGCATAAAACACAGTGCAGCCAAGTTAGAGCTACGTACTCAGTCTCAGAATCACGAGGCCGAGCGACAGCAAAGAACAGCAGGGCTAATTAGTCCTCATCGTGTGAGACGCGGGAAGCACCTGGAAAGAAACTGGGCTACGCAATACTTTCAGTGCCGAGCGGAGTGGTGAGTCTGAGTTTCAGCCTAAGAATCTGTACTTGTGGTATGCAACGTCACTGGTGCGCCCCCCCACAATACCAGAACCTTGTACCTTTCGGTGGCGCATTGATACCAGTGGTAGAAGCGTGAGCTTGTTTGCTGGGTGGCTGCGCTAAATTCACTCTTCCCGCTGATAGTATTAGCGATGCGCTACAGGGCAGTGTCATCAAGGTCCATGCAGAAGCTCAATGAAACTTACATATTTATCTCATGTTGCGAAGATATCCCTGATGGGGACCTTGCAAGTTGCGTGGGCCGGGAGTACGATCCTGAAGAGTCGACAGGAAATAAATCATGATGTTTTGATTAGGGAACCTTGAATATGGCGCTGCATTGTTGTTGGAGCGGCCTGAGAGCATATACAAGCATTGCTGGATGGCATCGAGTAACATCGAAAGACTTGCGTGATCGAGAAACACGCAAGAGTCCAGCACGTTCTAACTTCTGATGGATGCTTGCATCCTGAGATGGTCTGCTACAGGAATCAAGTGAAAAATGATCATGAAGCGAATTGGAGAATCCAGATACCTTCAAGCCTGAGTCATTGTGCTTGATTGGGCACACGCGTCTATATTTGCAGTCGCCGCGGTCATCATTATATACGGCTGGTGAGAGAAACGAGTGGATTGATTTGTGCTGGAGATGTGTATGAAGTGCTGCGCATCGAATTGGCGAGCAAGATG